TATCATCCATCAGATGATCAATGCATTATCACTAGCACCAGCTTACACCAAATAACAGCCTGTCTTCTCCAATCCTAACACCAATCCACTCTACTTAGCAACTTTGAGCTAGTAGGCATTCCTAAAAGGAAAATATGCAACCACAGCTGTGCCCACTAGTTCTTACACACTAAAACTATCCAGCACCCCTTTATTGAAAAGCACCTTGGCTTTTCAATGCCCCAGTCAGCTTTTGAAAATGTAGTTTTGAATGGTAGGGGTAAAAAATAATGTAAGGTATGTACACATTTTTATTGATTTACCTCAGGTCCTCATGTTAAAATGGATGGTGATGGTCACTATATAATAAAGTTATAAACAAGGACTTCTAACATGCACAGTAAACGTAATACAGTCTTAAATCTTGTAAAGTATTAATTACAAGAATAGATATTCTATTCAGAGCAAACTTTTATACAGCATTTCTAATGTAAGTGAAATCATATTGACTCAAGAACAAATGATTCATTGTTTACTTCTAACTTGTGTCTTGTGTAATTCATAGATACATAATTTTATTTGCCTAAAGAATCTGAGGGATTCTTGCTAAAGAATTTTGAGAAGACTATTTTATTGTTTCAAAGGCACCCCCCCACACACACACACACATACACCCAATCTACCCACATGCCCCAAATAAAGTAAGCATTAAAACTATCATCATAATTCATATATCCATACCAGGAGAAAACATAATCTTAATTGGAAGGCTACATTTGGCAGACCATTTATCCTTTCTCTCCCATGCACCCACTGTTGAGAGTGCAGAACTTAGGCTGTCCTAATTACTGGAAACCAAAGAGATGTTACATCTGAGTTCCCATTGTTGAATCTGTCTTTTTAAAATTAACTGTCCTTACAAAGGTTTGCAATGGGGGAGAGGCCTAAATATTTTTCATGTTGTCATAGTAACTTCCTACATCTTTCCCCAGATAAAAACTATTCCCATATTTAATTATTGAAATTATGAATCTGTTAATCTACAGCACATTTATTCACTTATGTAATTTTAAATTTCAGTTTCATTTGATTGACTGTTTTAATCTTCCCTAACTAGTGAGTAAGTGAAAATAAATGGTGCATTCTTAATACTATAAATATGAAAAATAGGAAGTACTTAGGGGCTGCAGGCGAATACATTAAAATCAGTCGGTTAACATATTCTCATTCTGTTTGTGCACAAACCCACTACATTGAGAAGACAGATCACAAACGCATGGCCTTACAAAAACACTGCCCCAATTTCACGTTATGACAGCAGAAATTGGCCCAAATCTCTAACCATTTCCCCTAACGGAGCCTGGCTGGCTGGTGCCATCCAGGTGAGGCGCAATCTCAACAAGGGGAATGGCTCGTCAAATTCCTCTCATCTGTCAGTGTAGTGGATTATTTCTTGAGAGACTGAAATTGCCTGCTTGCAATCGGAACACCATCAATCTTGCTGTGGAGGGGATGGCAAAGCTGCCTGTGAGGTGCTGGCCTGAGGGGGAGGGGATGCCATTCCAAAGCAGGTGAGGGTGGCTGTAGAGACCCCCTCCTCTCTCACACACACACAACACACATGCACGTGCACACACACACACACACACACACACACACATACTGAAGGATTTGTCACTTTGCACATTTCCACATGCTTGCCATGCATGCCAAGTACATTGCTCTGCCTTGGGAAGGAGGTGATTTTTCAAGCTTAGGCAAATGTAGCAAGGCTGGGATCCGCTGCTGTCTCATTTTTTCTCATCATGTCACTTACTTTCACTGATTTGAGAGAATGAAATTATGTTTTCCCTTTTTTGCTCATTTATCCAACTATTTATTTATTTATTTGCTCATTTAGGGATGGGTTGTCACAGATAACTGGCCCCTTTCTTTTTCTTGGTTTTGTTTTCACACACATTTCATTAGTGTCCCTAAAGATTTAAGATCCACAAAGGAAAATGCCACAACACTTATCTGAGAGAGAGAAAAAAAGAAAAGAAACACGTTTCTACTCTTAAAATCAAAACAGAACACATTAAAGAGTGACTGAAATAATTTGGGAGATTGCTATGACCAAGATCTATCAGTTTAATCTCAGCAGCTACTGTAGCAATCTTAAGAAAGTTGAATAATCACACTACACAGACCCACTGGACTTCCAAACCAACATTATTTTAACTACTCTGCATCTAGAGGAAGCATTCATAGTTCTTCTTTTTCTACAGTAAGGCTGAGTTAGGGCTCAAAGAGTGCATATTTGGGGGCAGACTCGTTGGTAACAAAGTTCCTGAGAATACTGAAGGAATAACCTCAACATGTATTGGCTGATAATGAGCAAACTCCACATAGCTAAGGAAGAACAGGAGCCATGAGTTTAATTTCAGGCAGAATCGATTTTTAAAATATGCTATTTTAATAAGACCTATGATGTTATGGATTTCTCTGTTACACATGATAGTCCCAGTTCCCATAAGCAAATAGACATGTTGTATGAGAGTTCCCTACAAACTATACCATTCCGGCTCTTTTTTTTTTTTTTTTTTTTTTTTTTAACTACACACAGCATAAAGTAAGAAAGGTTATAATCATGGGCATGTCCTAGCCTTGTATCACATGCTTAGGAAACAACAAAGTCAACAAGTTATGTCCTAGCCAAGTGGATCTGTTAGCAGTGCAAACAGTAAAATTTGACTCATTCAACATCTGTGACTTATAGGTCGCAATCCCTCAAACAGGAGGTGACTATGATTGATATTTATAGGGAAATTCACATTATACCCAGCACTTCCCACTTCCTAGGAAGTCATCCCCACCCTCATCACACACACCCCCCCCATCTGTGATAGGGAAATTAGTTCAGATATGGAAAGTCCAAGTCCATGTCAGGAAAGTTAGTGACAGAGATGTTGACCCCCCCACCACCAGCCACCTGCTTCCGCAACCTCCCAGAACTGGCTTACAGTTTAAAAGGGTGTGTGCATTGATCTGACCTTAATGTCTTCATAGATTATATCTGATTCTATTCAAGAGGCTGCCTAGTATAGACAATTTGTCTGTTTGGGGCATTTTCCCCTCTTGTGGTAGAATCACATGGCCATGACCTTCTTTGGCAGCCATTCTTGGGGTGGTTTCAACTCACCCAGTCACTCTAAACTTCCACATCCATGCTTTAGGCAAAGGGGGTAAACTATATCCACTTACACAGTAGTTAAACTAACAATATGAATTAACCCTGAAGACAGTCTCAGCACTAAGCACTGTTGGGATGGGTGGTTCTTTACCTCATTGTTGACTGTTACAGTGAAACCACATTTCCCAGGTTATTTATATGACTATGTAACAAGCCCAAGACTTTTCTTGCCAGAACAGATTGGCGATTAAGTAGTTGGAGGTAGCTCAGGGATCCCCAAATTCACGATTGTGTTCCTTCCATGTTGACACTGAAGCTTCTGTCAGAAATCTGGCGCTTCCCGTGCCAGGGTCTGCACACAGGACACAGAAAACACAGGCAAGCAGCAGCGGCTGAGGTATGGTTTCCAAGCCCACCCGCAGGGGTACCAGCGCCCCCTCGCTCCCTTGCTGACCTGGCTTGTGGAAGGGAGGAAAGCGGCTGGGACCCAGGGACAGCTGGCTTCCTCCTCCCCCAGCCCTTCTCTGCAGCGGAGGACAGCAGACCCAGCAGGAGTGCGTGAGCTGGCGTGCACCCTCCCCGCGCTATCCACTCTGCCCCAGCCTGGAGGCTGAACCCTGGCAGGCAGCAAAAGGCACCCAGAGAGGGACTGGAGAAGGCCAAAACAAGAGTACAGGATCACCACGGTCAAGGCTGCGGAGCCAGGAAAGACAGCTCTGCGGACTCCGGTCCTGGACCTGCTGCACTAAGAAGCCCCAGGATGGCAGGAGGCCAGGGAAAGATATGGAGAGGGTCCTACAGGGAGGGCGGCAGCACTTCAAAACTGAGGAGCCGAACTTGGGTGTGCAACTGGTCCCCAAACGTTGTACTTGCCCATCCGAGGGACCCACCAAGGACGGCGAAGGTAGGGGGTGCTGTGAAAGGACACAAAGGCTAAACAGAGCCATAGGGGAAACGGAAGGACACCTTTGTGGGAATCAACCTGGAAGCTTTAAGGACAATTGAACTGGGGGTGACTTTGTATGAGAAAGCTGGAGACAAAAAGCAAGGAAAATCGGGATTAAAGAGTTGGGCAAGGGCAGGGTCAGAAGCCCGAAGAAAGCAAACTGCATCCAGAACTAAAAGGAAAAAAAAAAAAAGAGAGAGAAAAGAAAATTTCAAAAAAGCATGCCAGAGCGAACTTGTTCCTGAAACTGCCAACAGGGGGAGGAAAAAATGGTGGGGGCACGGGGGGGGCATGGAACATTCTCGAGGATCCAAGAGTGATGGAAGGAAGGGAGCGAAGACTGGACGCAAATTAAAGCAGACACGACATAGTAAGTCGCTGTTTCATTTTCTTTTTCATTGACAACTTCTAAAGTCAGTCTGGTCATTAACACACAGACAGAAATGACAGTGTCTGTACTAGGTAAAAACTCAACCCAGCAAATACATGCTTCCTCTCTAGAATCCCCCAGTCTTGAAAGTTACTCCACCAGTTTGTAGATTTTTTTTTCTTTTTTTCTTTTTCTTTTTTTGCTATTGTCCAAAACCAAATCACTCTCCTAAACAAGGTGTGTGGAAGAGGATAGTGGTAGTGGGGATGAAGGGGCGGGGGTGGGCCGATGACTCCTTTAGAGAAAACCACCTTTTCTGAGAAATTAACAGAAATACCTCCAAGGCGTTTTAGGTACACGCTCAATCCCCCAGAGCACCCAGCCCACAATGTGTCTTAGAATTCAAAGGCAAACTGCCCACACTACAGCAATTTCTGTCACTTGCATTACACCATCTGTTGAAGAGACCAGGGTGAGCCTAGGGGAGCCGCTGTGAAGCAACACCCCCCCCACACACACACATACACACTTACCTGGTCTGTGCAGGTGGTGCTGCTGGAAGGTGTGCTGGAGGGATCCATGGCAGAGCAGCATGGCACAAGCACTTATCCACAAGTACAGGACCCAGGACATCGCAGAGACCATTGCCATTCTCTAAAGAGAACATGAGACAAGAACAGGTTACCCCTGGCTTTCAGCCCTGGGTGCACCCTGTCCGACTGAGGAGGGAAGGGAGAGGAGATATCAGAAGTAGTATTCTTTTGCTACTTGGCAGGCTAGAAGGATCATTCCAGCAGAGGTCATGCCAGGGAGTAGGATTGAAGACCCTTTGCAGAAGCTTATAAATATGCCCCTCAAGGTGTGGAAAACAAAAGGCCAGTGATTGCCTAAGATGCAAAAATAAAGTTTTTGACTATCGATGAGGCAGATAAAAACATTTCATGCCCACGAAAATGTCCAGTTTTACACAAAGAGCTGCAAACTAGTTTTTCCCACACATACAAAAGCTGCAGACTTGCTCGTTCTAACTTCATTGCAAGTCTGACATAAGCCTGAAAGAAAAGAGTGGGCTCTTTTTTTTTCTCTTTAATTCTACAGTCATGAATTTTTAATGGCAATGCTGTCCTCTAAACTAAGTAATCATTTCTCAGAGGCATGTTGTAATCTCCCGATAGAACTGATCTTTCTGAGTGGACTTGAAATCAGAAGGAAGTATGTCTTCAGCCAGAGTAAGTTTCAGATGCAAGGTTTATGCATCTGTCCTACAGCAAGCCATAATTTACAGTATTGTTTTGCCTCCAAAGACCCCACTGTGGCATTTGCCAGAGCATTGATGAATATGCATTTACAGGTGGTGTGTGTATTTATGGGTGAGCATATACCTTTTCTCAGGCACTCAAACTTTGACAGTCTTATCTGCACCTATGAGCAAGCATCTCAGGAAATACAGAAGCTCAACGGCGCTACATATTGTCCAATTTCCCAAACAACACCTTATGCTGCATTTCATATTGCCAAATTAATCAAACTTGAAGCATCTTCCTTAGTCAGCCAGGGATAGGAGGCATCTTCTATACAAGAATTCAGTTAGCAACATGCCTTTCTCTTAGAGAGCTCAGAGAAGGTTTGTGCAATCAAGGTTGTGTTTTCCTCATTCCCTCTTTCAAATGACACCCTTCAGGAATTTCCACTAAATATTGAAACTCTGCTCATGACCTCCCAGTATGCTTTCTTTATCTGTGGAATTTAGTACTCTTTCAAAACCAGTGGTTTTCAGCAAAAATAACCAATATATACACACACAGAGATATATGTCTATAATTCTGGGTAAGTTGCAGCTTTTAGAGAGGTGGAGTGTTTGAGAAGGGCTTTGAGACTAACAATAGATAAACCTGACAACTGTAATTAACTGAGAAGTGGGAAAGCATTCTTTCCAACCACATGGAGCCATCAATGCCCCAGGCAGGGACCCGGATGTACCACTCACTTTCTAATTAGTTTCTAGTTTGGTAGCCCACTGTTTACTTTTGTATACAGCATGCTTTGCCTCCTTGTTTTCAGAACTAGCAGGATAGCATAGATGCATTCTCATTAGCAGAGATAAATAACAACTCCCCTCCTGTGAATCCCCAAATGAGTGCATTGAGTGCATTTTAAAGCCTCTCAGAACAGCCTGCACATTACAGAAAGACAAAACAGAGGTGACCCGGCATGCATTTGCTGTGTTGTCAATCACTGTTAAAAATGTACTGGAAATTTAACTCAGGAAGAAAATCCAACCATGATCAGAACTTAACAATTCCTCAGAGCTCTGCTGTCTCTTGTTCATTTTTAATCCACATAGACCTCGGCAGCAGAAGGAAGCTCTGCCTTGACAGTAGCAGCACTTCCCTTTTTCTTTCTTTTTTCCTGTTAACTTTCTTTAATTCTCAGCATTACTTCCCAGGATCCTGAATATCCCTTCCCCTGCTCGCCCGCTCGCTTGCTCTCTGGCAGAGCTCTGCTCCGCACAGCAGCAGTGTTTCCCCCCAAATAATGCATGTAGCCTAGCATACTTCTCTGAATATGTTTCAAACCTGCTTTCCCAATCCCAATCTTCAATCTTTACAAAGGCTTTCTTACCTGAAAAATCCAGCCAAGAGCAGGGCACTCTCCTAGTGTTCATTGGAAAACGCTAACACTTTTTAAAATCCATCTGTGCCACAATTCTGAGATATTCAAAGAGAATGCTTCCCAGCAGTTCTTTATCGAGATTTAAAGGGGGAAAAAAGCGTTCCTCTTCCAATCCTGGTTCCACAGTTAAGAAGACGTTGGGTTCGTTCACTGTATTGTCAGAATAGGAACCAGGGTTTGAGGGGTGGAAACCTTGTCATTTTCACCTTTAAATCATCTCCTGGCGTCACCTCTGTCTGACGAGACCTTTGAAGTGATGGTGAGCTAATGTAGTTTCCCTGATGAGAAGCAGTTTATAGCCACCGACAGACCATCCCCACTCCGGCACATTCAGGACAGAGTTAGGCAGCGAAATGTAAGAGCTGGGCTGCTATACCTTCTGGAAGGAGCAGGAGTCTGTTTCAGTACACCCTTCCTCTCTAAAGTCTCACATGTCTTAAAGTGACATTACCCTCTATTGGAGATACGGTACATTTTAATAACTGCCCTTAACTCCCCCAGGACTCAAGCAGCGCTTTAACACACTATTACCTGATGGTATGTGGTGGAGGTTTTTGTCTTACACCATTCTCATGCCAGGAGACTGAGAAGGGAAAGAAAAATGAAAGAGAGGGAAGCATCATGAAAAATATTGATAATGTTAATGACTGTTAGGCTTGGAACAGTATATGGGAATGGAAAAGATACACCAGGTCTTACCTCTGCTGACTGTTCTTTTTGCCAACAAGTTAACCAAATATACTGTTAGGCTTACCCTGATTTTTTTTTTTCTTTTGTTTTGTCAGCTAAATCTTGGAATACAATTTATCTGGAATATAACTGATGCTTGTGTTCCTAAGCCAAATAACAATCTTTGGAGTTATTTAACATGTTTAATAAGTAGAAATATATCATTGTTGGCACCAAAGACTGGGTTCTAATGAAGAAATATGCTCAAGGTTCTTTGTCAAAGTATTTTTGCTTTCTTTAAATAGCATGCTGAGATGGGAAGGGAAAACACACAGAAGTTCAGTAGCATCTTGAGTACTATGGTGTGAACCCCAGCTTCCCTGGAAATATACTATGATTGTACTTAAACTTTAGAGACGCATGGGAGATGACCTACTTTTCTTTTATAGGCTATGCCTGTGATAAGTCTCTGAAATACTCATTCAATTGCTTCCCAAGCCACTTACATCACCCCTACTATGTGCTAGATGCTTGCACAAAAGCAAAAAGAAAGACAAGATGGTCCCCACTGTCAAAGGTCACCACCCTAAGTCCCCTACATTATTTTCAGAGCTGAGATGGTTCTCACAATTTTCTTGCCTTGAAAACTTCAAAGTTTCTGAGAATGCCTTTGCCTTTTATGGGTATTATAAAGAAGGCTGGGGTGTTATCTTTGAGAAAAATCTTCTTTTCCATGCTCTGCAAAGTGAAAGAGTGAGACCCTCTTGGTGTTTCACCAGTTTTTCCTACTGCTTTGCCAATGAGCACACACACACACACAAACACACACACACGGACAATACACACACCATCACTACCACCACACCACCATACCACACGCCTCTCTCCACAAATAAAAAATTCAAAATAACAATCAAATGAGTTAAGAATGACAAGTTTTTAGTTGAGGTTCATATGTCTCATTTCTGTGGCTCATTATTACGGTCTTAATTAATGGGTGTCTATAGAAGGTTTATTCTCATGCTGCAGAATCAAGACAAAAATAGAAAGTCACAGGAGCAGGAGCCAGAGTTCATCAGACCTTCCGCATATGCTTACACTACTCTGAATTCTATCTTGTAAGGCATAATCTAAAGTGTTTCACTAACCCAGGAGGACAGGCATTGCCATTATCTCCATCTCACAGGGGAGGAGCATGGAGGGAAGCTAAGAAAGCACAGAGAACTCTTTCAAGGTAACAGAAGGAAGCACAAAGTGGTAGAGTGAATTCCTAGCTCAAATGCTCTGCACAAGAGCCTATCTCTTCCATATTTCAATAAAGGAATTCAGGAAAAAGTAATTTCAAACTCTGCCTTTATGTTTTATTTGTTTTACACTAAGACAGTTTCAAAACTTATTAGTCACTTACTGTAGAGACATATGTTATTCTACACATTTGAAACATTCAGGTGCTCAAGGCAGTCCCATGATTTTTGGGATTTCTGACTTCGGTCTGCAAAATGAATTTAAATTAAAAAGAAACGCTAATATGCTAATAAATGCTACAAATTTGAAATGCTTTTACCTTATATTTTCTATTTCCAGGGATTAAACAAAAGATCAACATAGTTGCTATACTATAATCCAATACAGTTGAAGCATGGACTCGTGGATCGTGTTTAAGGCACTTTAGAAAAATTTTGAGATATATAAAAAGCCAAAAGATTTGCTGTGACATTCTATGCATGGACATGATGAGTGAAATGAGTAAATGAAGTAAGAATGTCATCACCACTCCATGTGTTTCTTCCCAACCTATTACGTCGCAGCCAGTGATCTTTTCCTTCATAACATAAACATCAGCAATACTGGCTGTGTGTGCTGCATATGTGAGTCTGTGATGTAGCTATATGTGGTGCTTGTGTGTGCACAGGATATAAACTGTTTTGCTATGTCACTCTCCACCTTTTTTCCTGGACAGGGGTTCTCATCAAACCTGGAGCTAGGTTGGTGGCCAGGAAGCCCTCACAATCCTCCTGTCTCTGCCTCTGGGTTATAGGCATAGATTGCTTTTAATGTGGATGATGGGGATTTTAACACAGTCCTCACCCTTGTGTAGCAAGTGCTTTTGCTCACTAAGCCATCTCCCTAGCTTCAACAAACAGTGAGATTTATTTCAATTTAAACCAAAGTGACTCCCGTGCCTTTCAGGGAAGCTGTGGCTTTAAATCTTCTCACCATGGTAGGATGGATAGCAGGGACACTTTGTTGTGTTGGTTAGGGGTTAAAGCTTTGGTCAGTGAGGACAGGTATAATCACACTGAGACTGGAATCTTAATGTTTGGAGAAATACTCTCCAGATCTCTCTTTGCTTCTGGAATAGGCACAAGCTGTACTGTCAGCCTAGATCAGATCACCAAGGGACCACAATGAAGAGGCCCTTCCTCCTCCCTTCCCAACCCAGATGGATACACACAGTGAATAGGAAGTAGTTGCCAAAGCAACTGAGACTTGTAACTTTATTATAGCATAAAATTGAAAGTCCTGATTGATAAAGACTTAAACCTGTATTAGTCATTTCCTAATTAAATTGTTTTGTTCCATGTCCTACCCTAAGCTGTCCCCAAGGAGACAGCAGTGTGTCTATTCAAACTCCTATCCTTCACAGTGATACAGTGATAGGAATCTATTGGCTATTTTTTTTTTTTTGTCTAAGCACTGATAACCCTGAAGCATGAAATACTGGGACTAGAGGACTAGAGGCCTGGGGTATCCAAGTGAGGAATGATGGGTAAGTTGATCCCTCATGTAGTTGATCATGATTGGCCAGTGTCATGCTAGAAAGTATTTGAAAGAAAGGGGACTAAAAAGGACTGTAGACTTATTATTTTTAACTCCCAGTTTCATCCATTCAAAATAGTCTAAGCATTGTGGAGTTCAAACCATGTTCTGGGTCAAATTCTTAAAGATAGACAGTCAAATACAGTACTATATATGCATACACACACACACACACACACACACACACACACACACACACACACACACATATATATATATATATATATATATATATGTTTGTATTTTTAAAATAGCCTATATACTAGAATTCCTGCTATGGAAAAACCCATAATTTCAGAAAGAAAGCTCTGCAGAGACATTGGAAGTAAAATTAAAGGAGCCAGAATGCTTAAATAGCCCCAAATTTCCAGCAAAGTTCCCTGCCCAAGGAAAATTGGGTAAGTAGGAGGTAGACGAGGAGAGAACTAAGGCAGTAACATGATGGAAACCTGGGAGGAGGTCAAACATCAGTGGGAAAGGTCAAGGCTGAGGGACAGAAGGAATCAAGTGAACAGAAACCATCCAGTCCAGTTGCTTTTAACAAATTATTTTATCTGAGTATTTTGCCTGCAAATATGTATATATCTGTTGCCCACAAAGGCCACAAGGGGCCATCAGATCCCCAGGAACTGGAGTTACAGAAGGTTATGAGCATCCATGTGAACAATGGGAATCAAAACCATCAAGTTGTCTTGGTGGAAAACTACACCCAAAGCATGAAACTGTAGCTCTAAATGATGACAACTCTTTATACAAATGTCCCACACAGTGACTGATTTAAAAACTGACCAGGAACCCTACTTCTCATACTGGATCACCTTGCCCAGCCTTTACATGGGAAGGTGCATAGTCTTAGTGCAACTTGATAGGCCATATTGTGTTGATACTCATGAGAGACCTGTCCTTTCCTAAACAGGGATGGAGGAGGAATCAGGGGTGGGGGTGGGGTGTGAATAAAAGGGGGTTGGGGAGGGACTGGAAAGAGAGGGGGGGGAAATTGTGACTGGGATGTAAAGTAAATAAATGCATTTTAAAATAACAACAAACTAACCTGTGAAACCCATCCAGGTAGCTAAGCTTCATGTAGGCACCATGGCTTATTTACTCAAAGACAGAAATTTCCCATTTTTCTCATTCCACAGTTTTTATTTCTGATCACTGCAAATGAAAGCTGACCTTACTTCAGTTTAAGAATTAGTTGGAAGAGGTGAGTCCAGTCTCAAAATGGAGGGCCATGATCCAAAGAACCAGAACAGTTAAGGAAGCTGTTTATTGGTGGTCTGAGCTTTGAAGCCACAGATAATAGCTTAAGAATAACTTTTTGAGAAATGGGACACACTTACAGACTGCGTGGTAATGAGAGACCCCCAAGCAAAACATTCCAGGGAGTTTGGTTTTGTGACCTACTCTTGTGTTAAAGAGGTGGATGCTGCAATGTGTGCTCGACCACACAAGGTTGATGGGCATGTGGTGGAACCAAAGAGAGCTGTTTCTAGAGAGGATTCTGTAAAGCCTGGTGCCCATTTAACAGTGAAGAGAATTTTTGTTGGTGGTATTAAAGAAGATACAGAAGAATATAATTTGAGAGACTACTTTGAAAAGTATGGCAAGATGGGAGGAAGGCAGAGTGGAAAAAAAGAAAGGATTTGCTTTTGTATCTTTTGATGATCATGACACCGTTGATAAAATTGTTGTTCAGAAATACCACATATTAATAGGCATTATTATGAAGTGAAAAAGGCCCTTTCTAGACAAGAGATGCAGTCTGCTGGATCAGAGAGGTCATGGAGATGGATCTGGCAACTTTATGGGTCGTGGAGGAAACTTTTTAGGTAGTGGAGGTAATTTTGGTCATGGTGGAAACTTTTGTGGAAAAGGAGGCTATGGTGGCAGAGGTGGTGGCAGCAGAGGTAGTTATGGAGGTGGTAATGGTGGATATAATGGATTTGGAGGTGATG